AAAAGTACGACTGTGACACTATGCAAATGCAATCACTTTCTGTGATTTGCAATCTACTCGTTGTTTAAGTTTCAATAGATTAAGACCACGTTGAAAACACTTACTCTAAACGATACCCTATATTTGTGTATCAATTCAGTGATAGAGCCTCGCATGAACTCTAACCCTGTGCTAACATGATCATAACTCAACGGTTGGATAATATCATACCATCGTAGAGGTACATGATTCCTAACATCAAGTATTTATAAATACTTGATTATAGGAAAAAAATTGTAATTTAACTCAAAATTAAAATTATAACCATTTTTAAGGTTTAAAATTAAGATGGAGTGTTATTTAAATTTTAATTGCGATTTGATGAATGAGAATATTTGTGCAAAAAAAAAAAAAAAAAATTTAATCCAAAATTTTTGCATGGAATAAAATTAATACAAAGGATAAGCATTTACGCATGAAACTGAACTCCTTTTGCCAGGTGGCAAATGGCAAACGCCACGTCATTCACCCTTCACATGCATCTCTTACACGTGTGAAAACCACCACATTTCGTCTCTTCAAAATTCCTCCCTCTGTTTCCCCGACTCTCTCGACTCTCTCACAGTCCGCCATGGATCCCGACGACGAACTCCAACAATCCGGCCGGCTAATCTCGAAACCCTCCGATTTATTCAACAAAATCGTATTCCTCCAAGCGGATTTAATCTACCACGCAATCGCCTTCCTCATCGCTCCAATCTCCACTCTCCTATCCCTAATCTCGGAATCATTCCGCCGCGCAGAAGAAGCGAAATCAACCGTCGAGTACGCCGTCCGAAAATCCCCCTCTGCCGTGGCGCATAGGGTGAGGCTAGCAGTGAGGAGACTGAGTTACGGCCTTGTGGCGGCGGCGTTCATGTGCATGGTCATGATCCTGCTTCTGGCAACAGCGGCGAGTGTGAGCGCGGTGGCGATTAGGTTCTGGATCGAAGAACCGGTGGCAAGGAGGGGGAATTTGAACTTCGATTACACTGTGGCGCGCCCTAGGGCATTGTATGGAGTGGATTATAGAGGTGGAATGAAGACGAAGAAGACGAAGAATTTGGGGATTCCGGTAGGGCACACGTTTTCTGTATCGGTGATTCTTTTGATGCCTGAATCTCAGTTCAATCGGGCGGTTGGAGTTTTTCAGGTAATTTTTTTTAATATTTATTATACCTAATTTATTTCTCTGCATTAATATAACTCTTTTTTTTTTTTTTTTTTTTTTTT